GAAAGTTAGGATAACAATGAACTTTATTGCATGTCTGAAGTCTGACATAATTCCTTAAATAGCAGTAATCGCTAAAGTTACTATAGTAACCTCAATAATTATTATAGTTATAAATCTGAGTTAGATAAACTTAGGTTAAAATATCCAAACAATATAAATATAAATAAACTCCTAAATATAAACTCAATCCGTAATAAGTTTACGGATATTACGACGTTCTTAAATAAATCTGTTGATGCACTGGTTATTGGTGAAACTAAATCACTATTGATCTTTCTAAGGCATATAACTTCATTCCTCATGATTTAGTGATAGATAAGTTGGAAGAATATGGCTTTTCTAATGAAAGTATCAAGTTATTGCATAGTTATCTGAGTGGACGCAAACAAAGAGTGATGATAGGTTCTACGTTTTCAGATTGGTCAGATATTTCTTTAAGAATACGCTAAGGATCTATTCTAGGCCAAATTTTCTTTAAAATTTTTATAAAAGATATATTTTTATTTATTAAAAATACTGAACTTTGCAATTTTGCTGATGACAATACTCTATATGTTTGTGATAACAGCGTAGAAAGAGTACTTTCTCGTTTGCATGAAGAAATTAATATCATTGTTTGGTTCAAGGTAAATTCTATGGTTATAAATCTAGAGAAATTCCAACTACTATTAATTGGTATAATAAGCTATGAAAATTATTTTCTAACAATAGGAAACATAAAAGTATTTGCCTATGACAAGGTAAAGCTACTTATTACTATAGATAAGGATTTAAAGTTTGGTGAACATATAAAGTTGTTATGTAGTAAAGCTAAAAAAAATGTTTTGCTCTTGGTCGCATAAGAAATTTTTTAACCCTTAAAAACGCCATACTTATATTCAACGCTTTTATTTTGTCTAATTTCTCATACTGTCCAATAACTTGGATGTTTTGTTCTAAACATGACAACATGTTTATTAATAAAGTTCATATAAAAACTATGTGTATAGTGCACAAAAAATTTGATTTATCTTTTAAAGAATTATTGTTATTAGATAATAGCACGAGAATTCACGTAAGAAATTTAAGATTTCATATTATTAAAGTATTTAAGTCTATCAATAATTTAAATCCACCATTTATGAAAAACTGCTTAAAAATCTTATATTTCTCCCTCATACATTGTTATATAAACTATGCAAATATTGCATGGTGCAGCTCTAATGTAAGTAAAGTTAAAAAATTGCTTAGTAGACAAAAACACGCTGTCAGGATTATTTCAAATGCAGGTCGATTCGCACATTCTAAAGAACTATTCAAAAATCATCACATACTCAATGTTCTTCAGTTAAACCTTTATCAAATTCTTATATTTATGTAAAAATACATAATAAATTAACTCCTATAATTTTTAATACAATTTTCAATAAAATTAATCACGTGTACCCTATAAGATTTTCAAATTACAATTACGAGCAACCTAAAATACAATATTTAGCTACTAAATTTGCTATTGCCATCAGAGGTCCTAAATTATGGAACACTTTATTAAATAACCAGCTGAAAAATTGTTCTTCACTTTCTCTATTAAAAAAAAACTCAAACAAAAACTTCTTAACGATGTTAATGAATTTAATTCTTTTTAAGATTCTTTTATCTTCTTTTTTAACAACTATCTTATTAACTAGTCTAACTAATTTAAATCTTCTTTAATTTTTTTTCTTTAATATCCTATTAATTAATCTTCAGTTTTTAAGTGTGATTGTTTTTTTTTTGTTTTTTTTTTAATTTTTTTTTATTTTTTTTTACGATTATCTATTGATTATAGATTAGTAACTGATCTTTACATATTTGTATATATTTTTATATAATTTTTAAATGGTACAAAGTAATTTTATGTTTTATGTTTACATTTTAATGGTTATACACGCTTGTTAATGAAAGCACGTCGGGGTGTAGTGATAAGACAAATATTGTCTTCTTTTAGCCCCGGTCATGTAGATTTTATTTATATAACACGGCATTGTATTCTCTCTTTTTTTTTTAATAACAAAAAAAAAAAAAAAAAAAAAAAATGAAAAATATGTTTACAATTAAAAATCTACCCTATCAACTTCGAAGCTTAAAAAAATTGTTGCTACCCCGCAAAGGCTCTAAGTATAAAGGTGCTAACAGTGTTTTGTATAAAGCCACCTTGCTATGGAACTCACTAAATAGTAATACCATGTCTTGTATCATTCTATTGTGTTTCAAAAAATTTATTAAAAAATGGCAAGGAAATAATTGCTTTTGTAAAATTTGTAGCTACTAATTTTTTTTAATCTATATTTTTTTTTTTTCAATAAAATTATGGTGTAATTTTTCTTAAAAATACAAACATTGTAATTTTGATTTTGTGCAGGCATTTTTTTATTTTTTTTATTTACATGCCTTTTTTAACTATTTGTTTATTTAATAATGATATTTATTTTGGTGTGTGTGTCCATAAAGTTATATGTGTTGATTTTAATCAGTTTATGAAAACTAAACTATTGTAACCTATCAACGTAAAATAAATTTTTAAAATAAAAAGCAAAAAATTAGTTGAGGTAACTTTAGACTCAAAGTCAATCAGTGACTCGCGAATCAATTTTTCGAAACGTTCGAGCCTTTCGCTGAAGTAGCTTGTGTACAAGCTACTTTAGTGAGTTTTGAAGCCAAATATTAGTGGAAGGCCGTGAAAGGCCTTTACCAATTTTTTTAATGTATGTTTTTAAAGTATTTGATCAATTTTTGTCGGAGAGTGGCGAAACATTTTTCTAACATACGCATCTTTTTGATTAACGGCTGCAAATCATCAGCCAGTTCAATAGAATCACTCTCTTCACTCATTACAACTTGAAACCCGCCGGGAAGGTTTTCTTCAATATTAATTTTGTTTGTGTCTTCGTCAGTTATTCTATCCTCGTTGTTTTTCAGATTACTTTCAAGTTTTTTTTTTTCGGAAGTTTTGTAGAAATCGGTGATCAGTGGATTTTTCGGCCGTTGATAACGGCACTAATGAAAATGAAACCGATGACAATGCTGCACACTTTCCTCTTCAGTAAATTAATTTCATGTTTAATTTTTTTAAATGTGTATGCAGTACACTGGTACTTCTACCATTCGATTTTATCTCTTTGTTGCACTTCTTACACTTTGCAAGTTGATTTTCTTTATCACGCAGAAAATAAAACCACGCAAAACTTTTGTCAACTCAAACCTCGGTGCTGAACTCTTTGAAAACTTTTTGGGACATTTTATGTTTTTCTGGATATTAAGGTAACTCATATGTTAGCATAAAGTATTGGTTTTTAGTTCTTAATTGAAAATGCATAAAGTTTTTTTAGTTAGCGTAACTATAATTGCTGTTAATTCTATAAATTACATGGCATACTATTGACAATTTACACCATGAAAAACGATTTATAATTTATCATCTTGATATTTTTGCAAAATTAAAAATATTCTCTACTTTAACGACTTCAAAATTTTCATATTAACGTTAGCGCAAAACTTAAACATGCGTTCTCCATTAAAGCGAGTGACTTAATGATAAAATTTAAACCAGTGCTTTATCAATAGAAGGAAGACAAAGAAGACATTTAGACATTTTACTTTTAAATTAAACAAGTTTTATTTTTAATTAAATATTTTAAACAAATTTAGACTAAGCTCTTGCGATATGAAGAAAGACTCCGCTATCTTGGCTTAACTACACTTAAAGAAAGGACAGTTCGAGGTAATTTGATTGAACAGTTTAAACTTTCAAAAGCTATTAATCAAATTTTTTTTGAAATCATCAAACCATTGATTTCCAAATACAACTTGCGTGGAGATTATTTTTGAATTGAACGTCAAAGGGTAAAAAACTGTTAAGAAAGTTTCAATTTCTTCACTAATCGCATCGCCAATGAATATGCTATCTTCAGACGCCATAAGTGCTTAATCATTCAATTGGTTCAAAGATAGTGTTTACAAATTGAAATTCAATATAGATATATGATCGGACACATGAGTTTCTTTTCATACAGCATGGAAGTGCCGGGTGTAGCACTTTCTCATCAAAATATAGAAATGTAATTTATGCATATATTTTGTGAAATTTCTGAATTTTTTCCTTAGTTAGATATTTCCGAATTACATAAACTCAAACTCAAACTGATTTCACAGTAATTGGTAATGCTTAGAGGGTTAAGTAGCAAAAATCTAACAAAATAAAAATTATAACTGCCATTAATTTTATCTAGAGTTTAGTGCGGCCTTACGCTACATTTGCACCAATTTTTATAAAATTGTATAAAGTGATTTTCATTTTAAAGATGCTTTTATTGTTGCACCGTAATGTCAAAATTTTACTTAATTAAATTATTTATGAGGACAAAATTAAAAGATATCAAAATTAAAAGATATCAAAATTCACCCCGTATAGTTATATGAAGTGATAGCGTACGCATCAAGGTACCCAAGAACACCACTTATATAAATGACATTCTTGGGTCAGCTAGATTGTCATTATCAGTATCCGTGCTAATTATTTAGCCTGTTATTTTTATATATTTATTTATTACTTTTTTCCTGAGAATTTTTTATTTCATTCTTTTAAATTATTTTAAATCAAGTTTAATTAATATTGTTTGCTATATTTAAAAAATGGATCAATCAAATAAAAGTTTTGAAAGTTTTGATAATTTTATAGTTATGAAATTAACTTTTTTTTTTATATATATATAATTCCTTCTAACTTTTTGTTTTACCTTTTCAAAAATAAAATATTTTATGTATATTGGTATCAATTATATATGCTGCATGTAATTATTTATCATTTACAGAATTGATTCTCGGGGCTTGTCGATATGACGAATTGTATCTTCTTTTTGCCCTGCCCATCTGTAGTTATTTTGAAATATTAATTGTGTTTATATATTTATACAGCAAAACATGAAAAGAATAAAATTAAAAAAAAAGAATAATAATAATAATATCGAAAAGTACTTCTAATGTTTTTTACTTGTTTTCTAAATTTGTTCGTAAAACATCCTCAAATATTTGATAAAGATTTTAAATTTCACAAAATTCAATTCAGTTCCATAATGCGTTCCATCAAAACTATGCATACCTTTAAAGATTTTGAAAGTATCAAAAAATTTGATGTTGTTTTCTTTACAAAACCTTTCTATATCGTTATTAAACTTCTTTATTCCTAGCAAAGATTGAGTCCGGAAATAAACAGCTGGCTTCATATCTGTTGGTGGTGGATAGGCCACCCAAATTAAAGTTGTATTTTTATTTTTTTTAGTTATATCCCACAACGGTTTGAGATATTCATTAATCATTCGGCTTAAATTAAAGTTTTCGTGACCACCTGCTCCTGCAACTATCATTGGATTAGTTTCTTCTACTATACGATCAAAAATTGAAATTTCACTCTGAAAGGCAAAAATGTTTTGCAACTCTTTAAAACTTACTTTTATTTTCTGTTTGTTGTACTGACAAAATTTTAGATTTTTTTCTATGTCATCCCAATTTTTTGCAAATGATTTTCGGCATACTTCTTTCTCTAAAAATTGAAGTTCACCTTGGCATTCAGAAAATATACTTTGATCAAGTGTTGAAATCAAGGTTCCATGAATCTTGTCATCTGTCAAATGCATTAATAATCCACCAAAAAATTGTCTCATAAGAGAATCTCCAACAAATAGTATACTAGAAAAATGATTATTTAAAAAATCACATGTAGCTTTTGAGTTAAAGTTTTCAATAGGACAAAAAAGTTCAATCCAATTATGCAATGAGGCGTGTTTTAGTGATATATTGTAGTTAGTACAGCCATCGCAGTTGCAATACGTTTCATTGCCTCCACATTTTTGAAGTTGCTCGTTACAGCAAGGTTTTGAACTGTTCTTCTTGCATTGAGTTGCAAAACTATTGTATACAAAATATTTACATTTAAAAAAAACACACAAAATGTTAACTATTACAATATATCTATATATATATTGTAATATTTAACATGTTGTGTTATATTGTTAATATATTGTAATATTTAACATGTTGTATATATATATATATATATATATATATATATATATATACATATATATATATATATATATATATATATATATATATATATATATATATATATATATATATATATATATATATATATATATATATATATATATATATATATATATATATATATATATATATATATATATATATATAATTAAACTGAGCCACAATGATTAAAGTATGACCCCAGCGTTGAGCCTAAGCACCAAACTCCATCTCAGTACTTTTAGGCACGCTTGGTGCTTTAGAGCACGATGAGTGAACTAAAATAATCTAAAGCTTTGGTCCTCGGAGGTTTTAAATTTATTGAATACAAAAACGCAACACACACTTTAGACGGGAAAAAAAACATTTGAAAAAACATAATTTGGTCAAATGCAACTGGCATGTAAACGGAATAATGTTCCACTCTGACATTGCATATACGGCGATTCAATTCAAAATACGTTTATTAAGAATTTAGAAAAAAAGAAATTTCTCTTTGATTGTACAGAGACCTGAATATAGCAAAATAACCAAACGCTCACGTAGTTATATCAAAGAATAAATAAAATCATAAACTTTCTTTTGAGACATACGTTCGAGACATACGTTTCATATGTTCGAGTAATGCATTTTATTTTAAGAAGTTTCATAATTTGAAAATGCGGCAATTCCTTTTTTCACCAAATTGATTAAAATTACTTAATTAACAGCATTTTTAACTAATAGTATTATTAATAGTTACGTACAATTGAGATCTTTTAATGTGTTGTTAAAAACCATATGACACTCATTTAAAGACTTTATGATGACCAATAATTTAATAATCTACTTGCGTAAATTTTGAGATGCAGTATTAACATAATAATAAAAAAACTAGTAATTTTGGTTAATTTATACTTTTGGTTAATAAAACAAACTTAATTTCCAAACTTAATCATGTTCTTGTTTATATCACATTAGAATGTTTAGGAAAATGTTGAAAAATATACCTTATTCGGTTTGTGTGTAAACTATATATAATCATAACCTTTGAATTTTAAAAATTGTCGCCTTAAATTTAGGGTGATAATGATAAGTGATTTGGTTATTTTTTTTTTGTTCAGGCTCCCATCACCGCAAGTTTCATTTCTTAATCTCCGTGTAAATTATTGCTTAGCTACTACAGGGTTGCCACTATAATTTTTAAAGATTTTCCCTGAGTTTTCCCTAAGTATTCCCTGAGTAAAGAACGTTTTTCCCTGAGTTGAACTCTTTAAGTTCCCTGAGTTTTCCCTGACTTTTCTATATTCTTTCCTGCTCATCAACAAGATTATTATTTTCCTTAATTAAACACAATCTTTATACTTGACAAACTAAAACTTTTACAACAACACCCACATCTTGTAAATTAAATATTTTTGAAAAAAAAAAAATTGTACAAAATTTCAAAAAAAAAAAAATTTTCCCTGAGTTTTCTCTAAATTTTATAAAAGTTTTAAAAAATCCCTGAGTTTCCCAGGTTTTCCCTGGATTTCGTGCTATTTCCAGGTATTCCAGGTTTTCCAGGTCAAGTGGCAACCCTGTACTACTCGGTTTTTACGTATATTGCACAGTGGCGTAGCAAAATATTTTTGGCAAGTACGAATAATGGTTCAGGTGCCCAATTTCTGTTTCTCTGGAAAAAAGTTCTTTACTAAGAAAAATAACAAAAAAAATTTTAAATACATCATGAGGCTCTTAAACCTCGCGACCCTGGGGCTAGTTCTAAATTTTTCACGCCTATAAAATTTAAAATAGACTGGTTTTAGGATAACCGATTTTCCTAAAACCATTGTCTGATTAAGACTTGACGGATCTTGGGATACTTTTGAGCAGGTGGCCTTTTTTTTATGTGGCAAAAAAACTTTACAAAACTAAGTTATCTTCTCAAAAATTTTGGAGCTCCTAAATCTGCGGGACATGGCGTTGTAGCCTCGATAATCCAGGACTGGTTTAAACTTTGCCTCCTAAATTTTTCAACAATAAAACTTTTACGCAAAAAAACCGTAAAAAGAACTAACAAATATGCCAATTATGCCTTTCAAATAGTTTACACTTTCTGAGTTTCCTATGAGAATACGCACCTTCTCACTGCCATGTTTCAGATTTGACTGAATTCTAGACTTTACTTTTTTTTACTGTTGTACATGATAAAGTCAAAGTTATTGTAGAATATGAGAAAATTTACTTACTTTACATAAATTACTTTTAATTTGCTTTACAAATTATATAAAATATACGCTTACGTAATTAAATTTTTATTTTGTATAACTTATTTTTAATAAAGATTTGTTATTACTTTGAATATAAAAAATTTCTTTTTAAAAAATATAATTTTATTTGTATATTTAATTTAAATTTAGTAGCATAGATTAAAAGTACAACAAACCAGGCAGTGCGCAAAAGCGGACACTTATAAAAAAAACTAAATATCTTCACTAAAATAAAGATATTTGCAAATTTTAAAAAAGTTTTTAATTTTTAGTGTGTGGAAAATTATAATATTTCAAGAAAAAATTATTTAGATGATTGCTTTAGTAAGATATTTAAGTTCAACAAAATCTAACGCTAAAAATCAAATTTTTTTTGAAAATTAGGTTCTTAGCATAAAAGATTTAAAAGCTATTTTGTTGGATATTTTCTGTTAATTTCAAAAATAGTTTTAGATTTTCATAATTTTACTCCGTTAAAATGTTATGACGGAAATAAGATTTTCTTCAATTTGTGAAGCCAGAGATGCAATTTTATGATAAACCTGTGAAAAATCAAGTTGCAGTTCGTGGCTTTGAGAACCTTGTCTCTTAAAAAGATATATAAAAGGCGAAAAATTCTTTTGCACGAAAAGTTGCAGAATCTAGTTAATAAATTTTTTATTTTTATTTCAAGCCTATGTTATTTTATTTATTTATTTTTTTTTTCTAGTTTTTTCTGCTAGTATTATTATAATGTGCATATTTTAACAAAAAAAGAAAAAAATTATTAAATTTATCAATTTATCTACGTTTTTTTTTTTCATATAATTTGGAACCGTCCGCTTTTAGGGACAATTTTCCGAAAAGCGGACACTTTATAAAAAAATAAAATCTTATTTCCCATAGAAACTTGAAATTAAATATTTTTTTTTACACTCGAGAATCGCTTTAATAAACAACTATATCCCAGGAAAAAAAATCCTACATATTCTTAATATTAAAAAAGTTATTTAGCTTTTTGTGAAGAGTGTCCGGTTTGCGGCACTTTTATGTAATTTATTTTCATATGCAAGTTTTTTTTTAATATAATTTTTTTATTAGTTACTTTTATTTGTAAATGAAAATTACAGTTTGAGGAACTTTTATATTATGTAATGTACTTTTTAAAAGTAATTAAATTTTAAATGCAAAAGTAAACAGCTTTTTCATGTGACTTACTTTTACATGGAAAAGTAAATTACTTTTGATGAAATCTTCTTTAACATAACTTACATCTGAAAGTAAAAAAACTTACATTATAAAGTAAAAGTCGTTCCAAAAATTAATTACTTATAGGAGGCTTTCACAGGAAGACTGGCCACGGCTTTTCGACAGTTGACAATTTTCGCGCATTTCCAAAATGGCGCTTTAAAATAAAAGTAAATAAATAAAAATTAAGACAAAAACCATAAACTGCAAAAAGAAAATAAATCTAAACCTAAGTGAAAATAAACAAACGTAAAAAAAGGAAGAAATTTTTATCTTTTAAATCCAAAATCGTTTCGCTTAATAGACTTGAATATTGATTCAATTTAATTTTTCCAATTTGGAATATCCAAACTGATTTTATAAACAAAATTTTTGATAATTTTGTTGCAGGCTATAAACTACTTACTAAAATTCAAGATTTATCAGTTCTTTTTTTTTGTTTGTTTTTTTCTGTTTTTGTTTTCTTATTTATTAGCTGCTTGTTATTTCCATCTACGAAATTTAATACAAGTGAGGGAATAAAAGAGATTATACGTCAAAAAAATTTAAACGAAAATAAAACATGTACAACACGCAATCTATGTGAGAATTATATACGTCAATAAAAAAAAAGAACAATTTTTAAATTATGTTTACAAAAACGTTTTACAAAAGTTGTACAATATTTCTTAACACGGCAAGGAAGCATGCCAATTCAATTATCTTTTTTTACAATATTTTAATAAACAAATTATTTTTCTAAATTAATAAAAAGTTACTGAAACCAATTAAGAAATCTAAATTATACGGGTACATTCTTATCATCAGTAAATTAATTGTTTTTTTCTCAAAATTCTTCTTGATTATTTGGATTGAAATTTAACAGTTCTACGTTTTTCTAAATATATACTTACAGTATGTTGTAATATTACATTTCAATCTTTTTCAGACCATACATGTTTATTCCCAACAATAACCATGCATTCTTCTATGGTACTATGATTCATTCGAAGTCTACTATCTGAAAGTATAGTGGTCAGTGTGCTGAAACATCTTTCAACCGCGTTATTAGATGACAATAAATAAAAGCACAACTCGGCTAACAGCAGAATATTCTGGAAATGAGGTTTTTGAAGTTTCCATGACTTCTCCAAAATTTCTAGACAAGATAACTTTGAACAATTTTTTTTTTACCATTATTTGTAGAACACTCCATTCTTCAAAAACATGTACCTCCTTGAATTATGCTTCTGCAAATTATTCGTGAAATTGTTGTTTAAGATATTTTATAACGTTTAAACCATTGTCTTGCTCGTTGGTCCAATATTGAGGATCCAACCATGTCATGGAGTTGAATATTAGATTATCATCTAATGACACAAATCTACTATTTATCAACGTGACCAAAATTATGTATTCGTTACGTAACTGCAACGCTATTTCAATATCCTCGTGCTTGGGGTTGACAATGCCATCAAGCTTGATGCGAAGGTACTTCTTGTTATTGATTTTTCTTTTTTTGTGTCCTACCATTATGTAACATGGTTCAGCGGCATCAATGCCATTTTCTTCTTTTATTGGGAACTTTTTGACTGAACTACAAAATGCTTCATCAAGTTCTTCTTATGTTTGTGCAGTTAAGTTACTGATTTTTAAAGCAATTCGTGGTTTAACTTCGTGTGCCAATAAAACATTTTTTTCAAAACAAAGTGACAACAGTGTCATAGCATTTAACAAATCGAGGTTGGCTCCTACTTTGCATCAAAAAGCGTAGTTTTTTCAAATTCCCCGTAATTTTGACCTCGTTTTGTTTCAATAACCTTGTTTGCTTGAAAGTGCTTTTGGTAGAGCAACTAAATAGGACGGCCAGTTATGTAGCAGTTTTGTAAAGCCTCTTAGCCGATGTGCTGCAAATCGAGTTCCTGTAATTTTTTTGAGTGTAAATTTTGATTGGAAGAGCTGCAGCTGCATGTTTGCAGAACTCTTTCAATTTGCTCAAGTTTTTCAAGAGGTAAAATAAATTTGTGTAAAAGTTTTCGCACGACACAAATTCTTTAAATTGCTCAAGTGCATCTTTTATGACCAGTTCTAGTATGTGGTTTACGCAGTGTATTTTGACTAACCAAGGGCGTGTTGCTTTTAATTGTGTTAAAGTCCCATTATAAATGCCCATGTTGACATTTGTTCTATCAACTGTTGCTAAGATCAACTTTGTGCGGTAATGGGCTGCCGATAAAAGAATTTTAAATTATGTGAGGTTGTTAGTGATGAATACACTATCCAATGCTATTTTAATGAATTAGCATCACTTTCTCCGAAACCTGTCATATTGCACAGTGAAACAAAAAAGTAACATGGGCCACAAAAATACTCCACTTTAACTAAAATAGTTTTATTATCACTCCATGTTTTTCTTGCTTGACTTCCATTTGAAAGCCGCAACTTTCTCCGTTATTGCCAGGGCAATTCAATGTATTAGTTTTCGTGCTGCAAAATAAAAAAAGAGTGAATGTGAAATTGAAGTATTTTTCTTTACTTATAACTTTATATTGTATCACAATATTAAGTTCTAATAATAAAAGTAGTTCAAGCAAGTAAAGTTATTATAATATAACAACTATACTTTGAGATCCCCTTAGTCCAGCACATCAGAGTTGGATTAAGGGCAGTGCGCTATAATCTCGGACCCTGATATTTACAAGACGACCCAAAAATTATTATTGCACCACTGGATTAAGTCACCATCATTAATAAGTACATTATTTAAAGTGCACATAATATTTTAATACACGAATGTAAATGTCTTATTCATTTATTATATTAGCATTGTAAACAAAATACCTGTATTCCTGTTGCTTTTGCCTTACAATTTTATTACACCGTTATCTTGCAGGACCTTAACAAGAACCGCAAAATTACTATGCAGTATAGCGGGATGTATAGCCATTTCATATGCAGTACGCATTAATTTTAAATATGCTTTATTAACATTTTCGCTTATTAAAGATGCATTTGAAGTTGAAGAAGTATTTGATGAAGAAAGATACTTATCAAATCGTGTCACCTATTTGTGTGATCTTGTTAATAAATGTCTCCTTACCTAGAATAGATGTAAAACAAATATCATTACATTTTACGGAATAGGTCGGCATTATTTTACATTTATTATGTCTTAAATATAATTGAATTGTTTTTTAAATCTCTGTTATAGTTAATAACAATAAATTATTCCTGATGATGAGTAAAAACATTAGTTCCAATTGTAAATGCTTTAGTATATTTTTCAGCGGACCCAAACATGAAAAGCTGGCTGCGGTTAATATTTTTATGCTTAGGGCATAGTTTGCACCATATTTTGACATCAGTGCCAACACAATTAAAATTTTCAACTTCATAACCAAGGAAATCATATTTCCATGAAGAAACAGTTTTTAATGATTTTGTTATTGGTTTTGTACTCTTTCTCTATCACATGCAACTCTACTCTAATTTTTGCTTTTAATGATTGCCTTTTATTACATAGGAGGGAACAAAGTTTGTTTGACAATTTTGTTATTACGGAAGAAATTATAGATGAGTTTCAAATGTTTACATTCTCGTTTTAAAAAAAAGATGCGCGCGCACACTTGTAGGTAGAAAAACAAATAATCGGAATTTTTCCAGTAAAAACTTTCAGATATTTGTATGTGATATATACTCACTGATGCTTATTTACCCACTGATTCACTGATTTATAATAAGAAATAAATTATTATAACTAGCTTTTGTGCAGTTAGTTACTCAAAAAAGTTTAGAAATGAATGTAGATTGAAGTTTTATATATTTCCATCAGGAAAATCGTCTTTTAAGAAAAGAAGACTATATATATTTTGAGAAAAGAAGACTATATATATAAGAAGACTATATATAGACTGGATTAAAGCTATTAATCATAAGTATTGGGACAGTTAGGAAAGTGTAAAAATTAGTAAAGAACGAGTATGCAGTGCACATTTTGTATCAGGTACGTTCTTTGATGAATGTTGTTAGCTAATAAAACTATATACGTAGTAATACTTTGAACAAGTTTCTTTAAATTAGTAATTTATAATATTTGGTACATACATTAATTTAATTAAATAACGTCAATTGTAAAAAGAACTTATTATATTTCAGGAAAACGTTTTGATGACACATCTGACATTGACTGTAGTCCATCTGCATTTAATCACCTTGGAGCTGCTCTGATTTCTAGTTTGATTAAAAAAAGGAAGAGAAAAGATTACTATAAAGATTTGTAAAAAACGATTTTTTACATAATTTTACAATACTGCCATCTAGCCAATCGAATAATTTAGAGCTCGATAACTATAATGATAATATGAATATTGACATAAATCCACCAAATGACGAGTCAGCTATTTCTAAATTTTTTCAGCATGATACTTATAAAGTAAAAAAAAGTTCAAAGTCTGTGTCTGTATTATTAATTGTACCAAAGAATTTATTGAAAGACCAAAAAATTTAATTTTACGATCACAAACTTGGTCTAATTATAAACATAACAATACCATTAAATATCTTATCGGTATTTCACCACCTGGGGCAGTTAGTTTTCAAACAGACAAATAAAAATTGAGTCAAACTTTTGTCAGAAGCTTAATCCTGGCAACTTTGTTCTTGCTGACAGAGGAGTCAAGATCAAAGACAAACTAAATGCTGTTGGGGCAACGTTGAAAATTCCAGCATTTACAAAAGGTAAACAACAATTATCTGGATGGAAAGTGGAAACATCTAAACAGATATCTAATTTTTGCATACATTTGGAATGAGAGATTGGTCAAATAAAAAAGTTTTGCATTATTCATAAGACTGTGCCAATCACTCGAGTGGATTTATTAGATGATATTATAATTATTTTTTATGCTCTTGTAAATCTCAATATGAGTGTAGTTACTTGATTAATGTAAATGTAAAAACAAATATACAGAGAAGCAATTCTTACAGTTTTAAAATCTAATTACATATTAAAGGAGAGTAATTTTTGTTATTGTTTATTGCTTGGTTTCACATTCTTTGCAAAACCATTTAGTACTTTCTGAAGCTCTAATTAGTCCAACACAAGTGTAATGAAACCATTCCTATTTGCAGCTAGCGAAATTGCATGGCTTCATTATTCCAAAACTTGGTCTTTGACATACACAGTAAACTTTCCTACTATTTATTGTCAATTTATCAATCATTTTGAGAATAAGATCTTTTTTAATTGTTAAAATTAAACTTTATTCACCTTTTAACAGCAGGGAAGAAAACAAGAAAATCAGCCTTAGTTTACTAATTGTTGACTATTTGTAAAATTAACTGTTATTGTTGACTTCCAAAAACAAAATATATTTAAAAAGAGTAGAAAAGTTGCAAAAGCAACTTTTAAATTTAAAATGAGTTTAAAATTTGTACTAGAACAATTTCAAACAAGTTTTTCATAACAATAAAAATTTTTATTACCAAAATTTATTAAAAAATTATTATTCTTTTAATATTTTTTCAAAGAAAATATTGATTTTAGAGTATAAAAGAAATTCAAGAAGCATATTAAAGTTGCGTGTTTATTTTTTTTACTTACAGGTTTGCGCGCCCATGTTGTTTATAAAAAGATATGACGTCGCACGGAAACTCATCTATATTCACCGTCTCTTTTTAAAAGATGCATACATGCATGAAGATGTTTCCTTTCTAAATGCATGGATGTATGAAGATGTTTCCCTAATGTTGTTTAAATTTCAATTTAATTGAAATTTGCATTGTCCAGTCGGCATAATTAACTTTTGGACTTATTAAGTACTTACATGTTTTATAACATTGTTATTATTTAAATTAAGTTAATTATATAAACATTAGTATTAATGAAATTTTATTATTTTACATCAAAAATTAGTTGAAAAAATCTATTATGTAATAGATTTTTAATATATAATATTATAATAAAATTATTATTTATATAATAACATTAATATAATATTACTATATATATATTATAAAAAATATATTATAAAAACATGTTATTCAAAGCCTGTTTTCTAGATATTTTCCGGCCTTAGGCACAGACCCTGTTTCTGATATTTGGCAGTCCAAGGCGTAGTTTATATATAGTTATCAATAGTTCATCGTATAATGTTATTTTTAAACCCATATTTCATCCACTCCATTTTATAAAAAATGATTTTTTTTATTTTTATTTATATTCATATTTTTAAAATATAATTCAAGTTATTAAACGCTTTAGATTTTACAAGTTTGAATTGAATAAAAAAAATAGTTCATTCTTTATATTGACGTATATAATTCTCAAATAGATTGCATGTTGTAGATGTTTTATTTTCGTTTAAATTTTTTGGACGTAGGGGAAAGCGGGGCAGCATGGCGAACGTTTGGAAAGCCCTGAGTTATTGCAAAACTATCAGTCGTGAAGCAATAATACTTTCTCAGTATGCTTATGCTATTAAAATGATTCATTGCCTGTATGAATTTTTGGTTTGCAGATATAACAATTTGAAATAAATATTTAAATTAAAAGCTAATAAATCATCTGGTTACGTGACCGGGGCAAGATGACTTATTATGCAACTTTTGCCTCCAATTTTATAAAATTTTAAATACTATCAATAACTCTACTTAAAGTAACACAAAATAAACACAAGTCGCAAAAATCTACTTCTAAAGAAGTTAATCTTGAAGGACACCATCCATTATGAGAAACCAAAACTAAGGAATTTTTTTTTAAGCGCAAAAAATAAACTTACGCGTATAAAATTCCGTTAACAATATTTACAAACAAAAAAAACCTGATAAATCTTAAATTTTAGTTAATAGTTTATAGCCTGCAACAAAATTATCAAAAATTTTGTTTATAAATCAGTTAGGAAATTCCAAATTGGAAAAATTAAACTTGATCAATATTCAAGTCTATTAAGCGAAACGCTTTTGAATTTAAAAGATAAAAATTTCGTTAACAGCTTACTTTTTTACGTTTGTTTATGTTCACTTAAGTGAAGATTTATTTTCTTTTTTCAGTTTATGGTTTTGCTTTCATTTTTATTTATTTACTTTCGTTTTAAAGAGCCATTTTGAAAATGCGCAATTGTCGAAAAGATATGGCCAAGTCACCAAAACAAAAAATGCACATGCGTGGTCATATAAAGACGTGCGATTACATTTCCCTACACAGCTTTCATCTGTGAAAGCCTGTATAGGGAAATGTAAATTTACATAAAACGTTTAAAAATATTCAAGAAATTTACTTTTTGATAAAAATTAACTTACTTATGTAAGTAAAAAAAAAGTAAGTAAAAGAGCCATCCCTACTAGGGTGGATCGATTTTCATCGAAAAAAAAAAAAAAGTTCAAAAATTAATATTCCTGAGACACGAATCGATGTCTATTAATTATAAGATGAAAGTAAAAAAATATTCTTTGATTTTGATGAGATCTTGAGGTTCCTTTTTGGATTCTAAATCCTTGACGGATCTTAATATTTTTTGAATTTTTTTTTTTCTAAACTACATCAACTTTGGACTCAAAAAAAGCAGAAAAAAATGCTTGTTTATCAATAATAATTTTATTAAAAAAAAGTTTTAGTAAAAAAAATATTTGCAAAAATATACCTTAAAAACCTCGTTTTGATGAAGACGGGGGTTTTTTAATAAAAAAAATGGCATTATTTTTTTCTCTTATTTTTAAATTAAAAAAAATATAATATTCAAAATAAGCGTATTATTCTGCTTCTTTTGAGTACCAGGTTGATATAGTTTAGAAGAAAAAAAATTTCAACAATTTTAGGATCCATTATAAATTTAGAATCCAAAGAGGAACCTCTAAAACTCATTTAAATTAAAAAAAAAAAAAAGTAAGGTTCTTTTTTCACCAAAAGACATCAATTCGCAGCTCAGGCAAATCAAATTTTAAAAATTTTTAAAATCGATCCACCCTAATCCCAACCTTTGAATGAATATTGTTAAAAATTTGTAAAAATTATTAGTTTCAAAAAAGTTTTACAAAGAATTTTCTTCTTTTAATTTTTTTTTTATTGAATTTTTCTCAAAATATGTAAAAAATTGCCATTTGGAAAAATGACTGCAGCATTTATTTGATTTTGTTTTTTTTTACATTATGATTTAAAATGACATCCATGCATTGTACTATTTGTGGAAGTTATTAAGGGCAAATAAATTTAGTCGGTGAAAAAAAAATGCTTAAGGACCCTATTGAGAGTATCTTTTACGAAAAAGGAGACCAATCTAACTCAAATGTTAAAGGACCACCAAGGTAGACATGAGCCAGCGAAAATCCATCAAAAATGTTGGAGGAGGCTCACGGGTTTTTAGAAAAAACCAGTTGGACTAGAACCTAAACGGTTACCTTCAACAAATGAAACGGTTTTTCACTGGAAAGTTTGTTGTTTTATTTGCTAAAAGCTTATTATGCGAAATAAAGCACAAGATGCATCATAACTCATGCATGGCTAACTTCAGGCTGAACAAAGTGGGGAAAAGTGGTAGGGGGTAATTCCACATCGAATCACCCAAAATTTAAGAAATTTTGAACCATGGTTCCCCAAATTTTTTAAAAACTTCTTTGGCTGTTGTATCTTATAAAGAAAAGGTAAAACATAAAAATTCAGCTAAAAATGTTGAGCGGTTGACAAGATACTGCAATTTTAAAATTGACCTGGTTTTGTAAAATGACCCGGTTTTCATAACATTCTAAAAAAACGTTTTTTTTTTTAAAATAAATAAAAATGGCAAAAATATGAAAATAAACATATGCATTGTTTTTTTGATGCTAAATTCAATAAATGTACTTAAAATGCTGAAATATAAAAGGAGCATGTTTAGAAGTTAATAAAACAACTTGTTTCTATAAACCAATTTTGGGGCCCAATATCTCAAAACACCCCCGCCAAATTTTTTTTTTTTGCTGTTAATTTTTTCAGCTACTTATAATCTTACTAGGCATAAAAAATCTAACTGGAAAAACAACTGAAACATATGGAACTTTAATATCAAAGATGTATTACTTTTTCAAGAAATTAGTTGTAAAACTCGCAAGTTGAATTTTGTAAAATATTAAATTTAGTTTATAGACTCCTTAAAAGTGAAAAACAAAACATTGTTATATTTAAGGAATTCTTAAATATATGATAACTTAGTTATTTGATCTTAACAACTGAAAAAAATATCCTGTTTTGTTTTTAAAAACTGACTATGTGTAATATTGAGGTGCATTTGTTTTTAAAATTTTGACAACTATAGTTTGTAAAAGTTTATAAAAACTAGTTTATCAGTTATAGAACAACATTTATTGGTAAAAATTTAAATAAATTTAAAAAGTTTATCAGTGTAAAAAATTCTATCAGTGTAAAAAAATATACAACAGAAGGATTCTGGTTTGAATCAAAATTATGTAGAAAAGAAGAATTCTCTGTTTTTTTTAGGAATTACATTCATACTAACTAATTTATTATAAGATGTGTTCAATTGGCTTAATGACATCAGATGAATGCAAAGGCCAACAAGATGTTATTGAAACTTTAAGCAATGAAGAAAAAATAACTATATCATTACGCTGTAACATTGAGCAAGACATACTACAAAATATTTGAAAATGTATCCTATATAGCAGAAAGTAAGTTGTGACCCATTCAATAAATATACAAAAAAAATCACAAGTAGATGTAGAATTTAAATATTTTATATATACACTTTTTTAATTTTTATTTTCTAAAACACTAAAAATTTTTAAACAATTGTGCAAATAAGCTTTATGCAGTTTAATTACTTTCAGAAAATCTCAGAGCAGTTACGATAAATGAGTCACAAGTCATGTTTTAAATTTTGCTTCTGGGAAGAAACTTTGCCAACCTTGTAAGCAGAAGATTGCCAGAAAAGAAGATTTTAAGGAAGAGAAGCAAAGTCAGGTTGAACAAGATGAGGATTTTCTAATATCATCATTCAAGTCAAAAAGACAGG